CCAATCTGAGAGTACAACTGGTCCCCCAGATTCAAATTCGGAAGCGACCCTGGATTCCAGTACCTCTCCCAATCCAATGCTGCGCACTTGGCCCTATCTGCAGGTAGAATGGGGCCATCAAAACTTGCAGTAGGACTGGCGGGCGGCACCTGTTTGACCCACCTGCCTAGTTTGGTGGCATTTTCCTGCACGCTGTCCTTCCACGCCTCCAAGCGTAACTTGGACGCTGCTGTAGCTTCTGCATTTGCCAATTCTAGCACTGCACTAACCAACCTGGGGTCATCCAAAGAGAAAAAAGCCAAAGAATGATGTAAATGAGGGCCATCACGAACCAACTTCTTCTCCAACTCTGGCAACGGGGCCTTTTGGTACTCCACCACTCTTCGTGCGAAGCGTCTGAGCTTGCGCTCTTTCACTGTTTGCAAAGAAGGCGCTTTTGAAGACGGAGGACTGGCAATTTGCATAGCACGACCAGTTTTGCCACGTGCGAGAAGAAGAGATTCTGCGCAGTTGCTAAGTAAGGTCCAAGCAGAGTCCACGTTGCCTGTACTCAATGCATTCCAAAATCGTCACATACTTCTTCCCAAGCACTTAGCCAAGAAGCTTCAGCGACCTTTGCAGAATGCAAAGGGGCACCAACTGGGAGAGTCCACGGTGTGGATAATGAACCAGGCACATGCAAGTTGTAAACCACCGCGTCATGGTCAGCCACGCCAAGATGTTGCTCCCTACCAGTAATAATTAACCGAGGAGTGCACAAGCCATAGTCAATGACCACACCTGTATAAACACCTGCAGCAGTTCGATGTGTACCACCTAAAACACGATCTCCGCAAACCAGCTCATCACAGGACCGCCACTGTCCAGTAGCCAAAACGTTAGAAATTGGCCAACAATGAATTTCCAAATTGAAGTCACCCATGATCACTGTATCTTCACCACAAGCAGCAACAAACTCGAACAGCACACCCAGCGCACGGCTGGCAGCTGTGCGATCTGAAGCATGTAAGTAAACATTGATGAGAATCAACGGCCTTTGCTGAGGTCTATAGAGTTTGACGGCCATGGATCTTTCCACAGACACCATGTCGACAGGAAGGGCCAAGGCCTCAGCAGGCCACTTTGTTAGAACCAATGTACCACCTTCCACTACATTTTTCGAATTTCTTCCTTGAGGGCCAGGAAAAAGTTGCCACCCGCGTGCCTTGACGGCACGAGTCACAGCATTCCAGCTGTGATTGTTAACTCTAGTTTCTTGAAGACACAGAACATGTAAATTCTGGAGCTGAGCAAAGTCAAGCACACCACCCAAGCGGCCTCCCAAGGACCGTACATTCATATTCCCCAACCGCATAGTGCTGTCAGAGCCCGTCATGGGTTCTGATCCACAGCGCCATCCTGCTGCAATCCCAAAATGTCCAAAGCTCGCGAAGCAGCTCGCTGTCTGGCACTTGGAGCCTGAGCCGCAAGAGGCACCAAAATATCCCTCTGGCCCTTTCGAAACTTAGTCCAAACCATTTTACGAGGACACTGACTTCCTGTAAGCCGTCTGATGTTGTTGACACAACGCTTGCAATGCACACAAGCAAAACGCACCGTAAAATTGGCAGGCCACACAATGGCCTCAATCTGATGCGTGCTGTCTGCTGCAGTATCAGTGGTGCGAAATGCTCCAGAGTCGATGATTTCCAAAACTGTGCGGGCACCCTTCTTGAGGTCATCGCTGATGTCTGCATTTTTGAGGCACGCACGCAATCTTTCCACCAACTGCTTTCGTTTGGGCCCTTTGCTGGAAGCATACTGTTCACAAGCAATCTTTGCCAAACGCTTCGCTGTCAAAGCCATACTGCCACAAGTTTTGCAAATGACGTAAGACATTCCAACGCTTTTCTGTTTGCCATTTCCTGTGGCTGGAATGGTAACGAAAGTGGGGTCATGTGCTCCAGCATCGCCACGCTTGAAGCCAAGCAACCTTCGAGCCACTGCAGCTGCACGCACCTGGCGCGTGGCTTTGCTAGCATTCTCCCGTCTGAAGCTGCTGTCCTTGTGGAAGAGCTTGGCATCCGCCTGAGGATGTTTGTCTCCCCTATGCTTGCGGATGACGCTGTACACTTGGCCAGGTTTGAGGTTGTGATCAGCGGACAAGCCAAGTTTGCAAACAGGACACTTCCAGCTATAGACTCCTCCCTTCTTGACCGCAGACAGCGCAGGCAACGTGTTTTTGAAGCCGATTTTCAACTGTTCCTTCTCATCGGGATGCCAAGCATTGATATGAGCTCTCTTCTTGTCAACCCATCCTTGGCACACCCCAGTGGAAAAGTCACACAAAGGGCATGTCCACTCAGTACGCTTAGTGCGTCTGGACGAAGCACTGGCTGCGTCTTGTCCTTCACTGGCTGCACGTGGCGTGCACGGACCCCGACCCGAAGTAGCAGCCGCAGGGGAAGAAGAATTCTTGCGCTGCTCTGACAAAGTAGAGGCGGGCGCGGGGCTAGCACACCTTCCACGTTTATTGTTGCTATGAACCAGTGACGGCAAAGCTGACAATCTGGTGGCACCAACTGAAGTAGCGCCACATTCCGATCCTCCACCTCTGTTGCCCTGCATTGGACCATTTGCGGCCTGAGTCAAAACTTCAGGAGGGAAAGCACCTTCAAGTCGTTCATAGTGCTTTGAACGAAACCACAAAGCGATGGGAGCACCACCCTTGCCACGACCATTGTAAATCTCCGGAACCCCACGAGGCTGGAAGACAATGATCGGGCGATCGTAGTGCACAGCCGCAGCAGAAACTTCAAGAGCACTGCCCCCAGCACCAATCTTTGAGAGCATGGTGAGATAGCTCTCCCATGATTCGCAAGCATTCTCCGCCTCTGTTGGCTCCTTGCCGTCCCACCAGGGCTTGTAACGACCCTGGTGCTTGGTCAGGTGGGTGACAACGCTTGCACGCACATTCCTGGCTGTTTTTCCGCCCAAACTTTGAGCAAGGGCTTCAAAAAGACAGTTGCCGTCAGCAGGGGTGCTTTTCACCTTCATATTGTGAGGGGGCTTGGGTTCCCCCGCAACACGCTTGGCCGGAGGACTCTTTTCAGGAGTACTGACAGTTCTTTTTGCCCCAGCGGGTTCTCCAGCATTGTCCATCTTTGCGTCCGACTTGTCCTCGTCCAAATTCTCAGCAGGAACCTTCTCAGCCCCTGCAATAGTCACTGGCTTTTTGACTGGCGTTCCCATGTAGAAAGATTTGCGAGGAGCAGGCGTGGCAATCGCCTGCCATGCATGGCTCTGGTTATAACTGACCCTTCCATTGCTAGCCAGTTTCATGGTATGTGTTCTCTGCCGTCTTTGTCTTGGAGCTTCAACAGCTACAATGACTTTTTCGCCAGCCTGAATTTCAATGAAATCCATATCCTTTTGAGCATTGGCCTGCACCCACCATTCCACTTGTTTGCCCACAGTTTTCCGGGACAACACCTTGAGTTCAGTCAGGCCAGCACATGTAAGTTCCTGAGTCAAGGTACTAGCCGCCCAATCTCGCGGAACACCAGTGACGCGCCAAGCTCTGGCCTTAGGAGGGGGCTCGGCGCTCCTGGGCTTACGTACTCCCAGTCCATTCCATCCCCGGGCAATGCCCAGGTCACCAGCCATGGACTGAACCTTCTGCAAGTAGCTGGGCCCATCAAGTTCCGAACTTTTCTTGACCCACTCAACATCGCAAGATTCAATCACGGAGTTGTTCCATTGCAAAGGCTCCACAAACCAGGTACTTTTGCCTGAGCAGCCTAGAAGAGCTTTGGCAGCACTTCGCTCAATGCGTAAAAGGCCAGTGATCACTGGCTTGCCTCCGCCGTTCATGCTTTCTTGCTGAAACGCCCACATATCAAAGACTTTGTCCGCAACATGCTCTGGAACATGCCGATGCAACCAAGCCTGCGCGTTTGCCTTTGGCTTGGCCTGGATGCTCTGCCACTCGTTGTTTTGCAAATATTTTGCATCAACACTTAATCTCACTACAACAGTTTCAGGCTGCACTGCAGGAGCCGCTGACACAACGGCAGCTCTCTTGAGTGATGGCCCTTGGCCTTGAAGTGGGATCACAAACGCCTGCCTGGGCTGCACCTTGCCCGAGATCTTTCCTGGCACCATCCGCAAAGGTCGATCCTCAGTCTGCTTGGCCTCTTTCGGCGCTAGCATCACAGCTGTGATGTTGAGCTCTCTTTTGATATCAGGGGAATCGCCTTTCAGCAAAACCTGCAACTCCTCAAGTTGCTCTTCCGAGTTCACTTGCACTGTAGCTGAAATATTTCCAGGCTTATCCAGTGCGACACAAAAGTCATCAAAGCCCAAAATGGGCCCCGTCCAGTCTGACTGACGCAGGCTCCACACCGGCTTAAACGCAGTGTTGGCTCGAACCACTTCGGCAAAGGTCTTGGGCGTTTTGTGGGGCTGCTGCTCTGTGTGTGGCTGTTTTTGGACGTCCGCCTTTTGCTTAGGATGTGGTTTCGAAGTATTCTGCGGAGGCTGAGTAGGAGGAGAAGAAGGGTAAAACCCCCCCCCTTGGCCGTAATCCCCCAGACCACCATCACCGCCCTGTTTATTTTTGTTCTTGTTCTTAGTCTTCTTGGGTTTGGCACACCCGCCATGGCCCATCATAGCACTGAGCTGTTGAAGCAAATTCCCACCGCCACCCCCGAGTCCCAACAATTGGAAAAGCTGAGAGAGTAGTTTGAGAATCTCACCTGCTTGTTGCAAATTGAAGCCATTTGCTTGGTTATTTCTTTGTTTCTGTTTCCTTTTGCGAGCTGTTGCTCTGCTTCCTGCACCATTGCCATGCATGGCATGCATCAATGCGTTCCGCTCTTTTGAAGACACAGCCCAAATCTTCTGAAGCAAATCGAAACTTGCAAGCACCACATCTGAACAATTCGTTTCTAAGCACTGCCAAGGCCCATCAGCAATGCATAGACCCGCAGCCACCGCGCGGAGGTTGTCCAGATAGCTGCCGAAAGGCGTTCCAGCTGAATCCAGCACCAAAAGAACTCCCTCAGACATCTGCATAGCTCTGTAGAATGAAGTGCTGCGTGGGTTGCTTTTGATATCCTCTTCCACGCAGTGCTGGTTGTTGGCATATGCACAGACCCAATAGAATGTACTGCTTGAGAGTTCTCGCACCAGAGCATGCTGCTCCAAGCAGGCCAGAAACTTACAAACAGGCTCCTCACAGATCTGCCCAACACAAAATTGGACGTGCTTCAAAGCGATGGATTGACTTTCATCTATCATTACGCTGGATGTTCATTTCTTCTTGATACAGCATCCTATTGAGGTTCCGAAATGAACAAGTCCAAAACTCAACCAAGGCTTCTAGGGGAATGTGGATTATTAGCGGAAAAAGAAACATGTTGCTGACAGACAATGCAATAGCACGGTCTCAAACAACCTTGAGAGTTTGCCTATCCAAGGCTCAATCCAAGCATGTGACACAAACCAGTGAGGTCTCTGCACTTGAATCGCCATGATCTCAACCATGCTGCAGCCCTTTTTCGCATAGCCGTCCTGGGATTCTGCATAATGGGGCCAATCAAAAAAAGACAAAGAGTAGATTCCTCAAATTGGAAAATGTTGTCACATCATCAACAGATCCAGGCTTCGGTGGCTGGTTTGATGATCCAATGATTCGCATGATACAAGTTGAAGGTCTCAAACTGCAGCCTTGTCCCACGCTGTTCTCCGAACGTTTCGCACCATCTGTCAGCCATCTTGGAGATGAAAACAACGATTTTTGCCAATTGCTCGCGAGTGATCCCTCGCTCTGCAGTATCTTTGATGCAGAAAGTCTCCTTTGACGTGTGTGGGGCGCACCAACAAATGCAATGAAATTGGAAAGGAATTCAAAAAGCACTGTGCAGCACCCTCAAAGGTGGAATCATGGGCCTGCAATCTATTGGTACTCTCGCCTTTGCTTCACAAGTTCTCAATGCAGTTCCTTCCCCACATTTAAGTCAGGAGCAGGTATACGGTATACGTTTTACAAGCCACCAGTGTCCAGGGTATGCTGAAACCACTAAATCCAAAAACACTGAAATTGAATCGATTCATCACACCGCTGCATTTGTTGGTGTTTGTTGGTATTTGGTGGTATTTGTTGGTACGAGTATTGTTGGCATATAGATTCTAAATCGTGATTGGCCATTGGCTAGTGAGGATTTGGCATGTTTGTCTCCTGGTTGCTGATCTCTGAGTAGTTTGCCAAGACCCATGTGCTGTGGCGGGTTGCCTCCACAACGTCATCGCGTTGTAGCTGGCAGACCCCACTTGACAGCAACTTGTTCCCATGCCATGGACTGTCTGGCAAACGCTGACGGAGCAGTAAAATGAGGTCAGCAGCGGTGCTGGAAGAAGTCAATGCAATATCGAAATTGCCATGTCCAGGAACATCCACAGAGACCGACATGAGGCAGCGAATCCTTTGCGCTGTCCAGCGGCACGAATGAAATTCCCCAGGTTTGTCATGGTTTGTCAAGGCCTTTCTTTTGTGCATGAGATTTGGCTGTTTTTCTTGTGCTTCACAGGCCAAGCTTTCATGCTGAATAGCACTACACACTGCAAATGCCGTACACGTCCGTCTTGATAAAAAAAAGCAGCAAGATACAAAATGGAATCAAAATGGCCAAGACAACACAACACGTCCAAGACAACCGTCAACATGGTTCACATCGTCAACACGGTCAAGGAAAACAACGACAACCACTTCTTGGAATTCCTTCAAATCAAGCTAGGCTCAAGTATAGTACGGTACATATTAGATGATGACCAATGATGATGCAAAGCTTGGTTTCCGCGCTCTTCCAGGACCTCAGGGGAAGTCCTGCAGCTGTCAAAGCTGCACTGAAAATTTTGAAAATCACCCAGCTCGAAGACTCTGGACTCTGCACCAAGATGACTTCGTTCTGCCGAACCCTAAAGGATCTTAAAGGGAGGAAACATTTGAGAATTTCTCCTTAGGACAACAGAGTTGGCGCGGAGGGTTATCGGACAAGGTTGAGACGCCAAGTGAAGGCCAACGGACAAGTGGTGTCACGACTCAAACCAAACTGTGAAAAGGTAAACAGTGAACTTTGAACTTCTTTGCCCTCCAGCAAGCAAACCTGGCAATGAAAACCCTACAGGAACGTCAACTGCAAAGGTTGCACAGAAGGGTAGATGGGTTGGAAGCGCCACCTGTTAGGACCCTCATCTCACAGGGCACTAGGTGGACCCACTGGACCCAACTCCACTTTTCTGAGACAAAACAGACTCCAATCACGTTTGTTATTCAACATATTTGAAAGGCCTCAAATTTGTTAAAAAAAACACAACGGAA